CAAACATAAAGAGGAAACTCCCGTCACGCTTAGCAGCGTTCCCCTCCAACTGGCGTTCGTTTGAGACACAAGGGCTACCGAGAGAAGGTGCGTGCTAGACACGATCGGTCTACTTGATCGAGACTGCTTGTGCTCAACGACATAAACGCAGATAAAAGCTGTTGTTAGGTGTTGAACTGTCGGCCCTGCTATCGCTCCGGTTCGGGGACGATGGGACCATTCCAATGGGCGATTGCGGTTTGCGTCCCCGAAAGGCCTTTGAGACGGAACGATTTGCAGAAAACCGCTTTTATGAAAACGTGTATTATATATACATATATATCGTCCTGCCGGCCACCGTTCGATTCGACAAAGGTGTGCATTACCACGCCGCCATCGGCCGCAAACTCTCCCGGGCTCACTGAATGAACTCGAGGTAGGGTGGCACCCCCCGCAAATCCTTTTTCCCCTTCTCGCTTTCTCTTGATGTCCCTGTACAAAGTATGTCGTGTAGACTTCTACCCGTTGACGGGATTGAGCACTCAGAGTTGGCCTAGTTCCCTGGGTCGGCTCATCGCTGCTCCAGCGGCTGTCTCCTTGCCCAGCCTATCATCTATCTAGTGTCATAAATTCCGTCTCTTAAAAGAACGGCATTGCGCCCGTTGCAGCAATGGCAGGCGAAGGAGTTAACGAGACTTAGCAATCGTTGCTGGCCGAAGAATTCGGTCGTTCTCCCAGCCCTTGTACATATTTGCAGCAGTCGTCTGCGGTGCGCCATAGCTAGGCAACGCGAGACTTCGGCTGCTGTTGATGCCATCATCGCCGGTGCGACTCGTCTCATACAGCCACATGGGCTGAACTGTTCTATTTTCCCGTTTGTTCGTTAGTAGTCATACTGCGTTATAACGCCTCAAACACTTCGCTGCATCCCATGCCCAGCAGCTTCAAGCGTTTACACCACTTTACCACCCAATACAGCAGCAGCGACGGCACCCTCTATCAAATATATATAGTTTTCCATAGGGCGCACAAAGATGGCCAGATACACATTCTCAATACAACCAACGCCCTCAATCCTTACCAACCAACAGATGTTGAACTACCGCACTCGTTTACTGGCTAGCTTTTCGAGACCCCATTTCGTTCCGTGGCTCTCCAAGGAAGAGCACAAGACATTGCCCATCAATTTGTGAGTCCTGAGGACTCACCAATGTCTGCGGTGTTGACTCCCGTCTCGTGTGCAGTAGGGCACACAACCGAAGGCGATGTCTGGCGTATAATAGTCTTCTATAGTCGATGGCGAAGAAGGAAAGCTATCTTCTTTGTTCTCTTTTAGCCGTAAAGACAGGCAGCAGTCCACGCTGTTCTGCATATGATTCTGCATAGTTTGTCTAGCCCGCGTAAAAACACGCAGAGGGAATTATTGTACATTCTACCATTCATTCAGTCTGTGCTCTGCGGCACCGGGGACAGTGGGGGCAGGAGCAGCAACAGCGGCTGTCCTTGGGTCTGGGGTTCACTAACATTTTGCACTTGGTATTCTGCTTAGTTTATTAGTACCCAGTTAGAAGCGGTGTGACGCAGCAGCGGCGGCGGCGGCCGTTAAGTGCTTGATCAAGAATGTCGGGAATGTGCGCCAATGGCATTACGAAATAAGGCGCGCCAAAGTCGACTGAGGCGTGCATAGTTTAACAGACGACGCCGAAGAAGGTAAGTCATACAAGGACAGGGAGGGAAAAATGGAAAGTGGATATTACTGAGGAAAAGCATAGTTCAACGAATGAAGGCTAGATGTCAACGGCTTCGCTTTAGGTGCTGCTGGGGGTACAATGGCAGGCAAACAAGAAGAAACAGGCGCAATGCTAGAAAATCCATTGAGCTGGCCCTTTTTCATTTGTCCAATTTGATAAGGAAAGAGTGTTCCTAACCTCTCGACAGTGTATTGGGGTGTCGACAAGGGCAAACTCTAGCTTCGTTGCTGCTTGGATCCTGCTGCGTTTGTTTTATCTTCAGAAGCCGCTGACCGCTTCTAACCTGTAAACTGTTACGGTTTCGTCGCCTAATTTATTATGCAGCTTACCAGTTACATCTTAACTAGTAGTTTATAAAAAGAACGGCTGTTCAATTAGAGACTGTAATCTAGACAAGTTTGACAAAGAAAATATAGCTACTACATGTAAGATGGTTCTATTTACGCTCTTGAAAGACACGTTGTTTTCGTATGGGGTTCCAGGCGCGACTGTCATGACTAAGACAGGTCATCGGAACTGAAACCTTGTTCCTTTTAAGTCAAATCTAACCCCCTTTACTTGACAATTGCAAGGAAGAGCTGTACCAGCGTTAGCTATATTTTGGTGTAACCATTTTTGCGGCTGCAAGAAGCAGCGTGCAGCTCCAGCTGAAGAAAGAGGAAAAATAATTTTTGCTTAGGAAAATGCTATTAGATAATAATAGTTTGAACCGATGATTTGTCAAGCACAGATAGTAGTAATTCGCTCATCCTCCACTAACTTCTTTTAATCAAAAACACTTTCACTCGATCGCGTTTATTGTCGGTAAGCGCTATTCTCTCCGAGTTTTTGTCAAAGTCGTCACGACTGCTCATGAACTTCATTGGATTTTGAGCTCAGTTAACCCCAACTGAAGATCGGAATGAGCAAAAGGCGCGTACGCCCTTATTGCTGCGTGCCCCTGCAGGCGGTGATTAACGGAACGGTCCCAGGGTGCTGGGACGAAGATCAGGTGGAAATTCTTATATCAACAACATTCCATAGTGATTAATTCCAATAATAACGAAAGCTCCGTATCTCCATCATGCGTCTGACTCAGAATCAGGGATTTTGTCCCATATTAACAGAGGTTGGATCGTTTACTCGTCGTACTGTCCGGTACCTCTGCAGATGGCTGTCATGGTCATTTTAGATTAACTATAGAAATTTCATATGAGAAGAAAAAAAATTGCTTAACATTGTGTTTTTGATGAATAACAATATGTTTCTATACGCTCTCTATTTGGGCGCGCTAATTTAATCTGGGATTATATCAACTTTAATCTGGTTAAGTGAGGGTTGGATGCTCTACTTGGTAAAAGGTAAACCCTCGTCGGGAAAAATGTGACAAAGATGAGGGCAAATCTGATGACATCTAGGTTAGTCAAAATGTTAGCTATCAAATCCGCCCTGATAGAGGCGGTCCTAATGATCGACCCTTGTGTTGCCCATTTATTTCTTCTGCCACATATTTATCGTCACTTTATTTTCCACGATGTTGTTGATGTTTCATTGTTATTACTCTTCTCAATACGGTAATGTCTCAGTCGATTTGCTTGTAATGGCCAAGCAGTCACGAGGCAGTCACCAAGCCGTCGATGGCCAAATACTCAGCTGCAAGAAGACCGCTGAGACTCTGTTCTGATTGACAAACAACGCACAAACCTAAAGGTTGACCTGAATCATTCAGTTGTCTTCAGAAATAACCATTTAGCGTTACTATTAATGACTATTAGCTGCCCGATCCTTGATACATAATTTATAATACGATCTAGTAATTCATTTATCGGCATGCAGGCCATCACTCAGTGAAGGCTAACCTCAGCTGACGGCGCTTCACCTGGTTCATTGAGATGCTCCGGTTCGAGGGCCAAATACAACGAGATGAAGTTTGAACCCTATAATTAATTATTTGAAAAGCTTAATTTCATGTTGATGGAATCATCAAGTACTTGTTTACTGTCTTTTAATTGCTAACTATTTACCCGGTGTACTTTCTGGTATACTTCTTTACGATCCTTGAGCTATTAGCGCTTTGTTATTCCATTTTGTTCGTCTCACAATAATGCCATTTCCCCAGCTATATCTTCAAGAAACACCGAAATACTAGACGTTGCAATCGACCAAATGAATCAGTCGCATTCTTGGACATGTACATGCTTATATATATATATGTTCATCGGCGTGGAAGGAACAACATCACGGTCGCGGAAGAAGAAGGGGCAATCTTTTGCGGTATCGAAAGTAGCACCCAAAATGGTGCTGATGTTCCGCGCCCAATGCTTCACAGATCAAGAGTCAGGAAGCAACCTTTTGGTTTGGACTTGAATCGCTCTGCCCGGGCTGACCACTTTCGATTCCAGATCATTGCTGATTCGCTCTTTTCGGATCCGTTCGGGATCAATCGCTGATAGTTAGCGTGCACGGGCTGACGAAGCGCGAAAGCGAGCGGATCGCCACTCGTTCACCGACCCCGACAGGCAGGCAGGCAGGCAGGCAGGCTGGCTGGCTGACTGACTGGGCGGTGTCGGTATCGTCCGTGTCGCTGGTTGGGAACAATGGATAATAACAATGGCGTTACAAATCGAATTACGATGTCGCCAGTGGCCATTGCCGATGTCGGAGCCCCACCAACCTCCGTCAGCCCCTTCAGCCGTCTCTTGTAGCGCTAAAGCTTAGTTGATCTTGGCTGGTCTTATGAGCGTGTCGTAATAAGCTAAGGCCGTTTCGTTAGCAGTTCTACTGTGGTCACGAAATGATCGTGAACACAACGATGAGAAAATAGCCGTCCTTCGATAGCTGCAATTCGTTCTGACGTTTGTAGCTGGTAAACAGTTTTGATTCTTTGCCTCTAAGCGCTGAGTTTCGAGATATCTATTTGCAGTTCCTACTGTCATGTGAAGTGTGTCATAGTGAACGATGCGGTGAAGACTTGGCTAGCTGTGCAAAGGGCATTGGTGTAAATGGTACAGAATAGAGTCCAGTAGAATACGTGTTTCATTGAAGTCGCAAAGGTGCCACGTGTGACTCATAAAAAAATATTAGGTATGATGCGCGTTTTTAACACTGACGCCACTTTGGTTTGTCGTCTAGCTAAGCACATTGCGACACAGTAACACGCGCATACGCATCTACTACTTCTAGCTGATAAGAACAATCAAATTTTGTTTCCTTAATCAGACCGTACGAACACTCGATTAACTGTCAACACATTAACTGTTGTTACATTATTTATTGCCGTCTGAACTATAGGACTACCAGACCTGAGGCTTCCCGTCGGAGTTGCGGTAAGTGGCTCGGGGCCGGCAACAAGCCCCCCAAGATTCGACGAAGATTCCAGCCATGCCCAAGAAGGCGGAAATCGGGGCACAACGAACAAAAAACAAAAAAAGAAGAGAAGACACCGGTAAGAGGCAACTAACACAGTTCACCCTAGAGAAACCGTTTATAATAACTTTATCGTTTGTCTCAATTCATCGACTTTAGCCGATTCTACAATGAAACAATATCCATATTCAATAGGCAAATTAATGTAAATATTCGTTTATTTGTCCGAGTTCTAGTTTGATTATGCAACAATTTTAACTGACGTCCCTATGAAGAACCACTTGAAGGCTTTTAAAACGGCTGATGAAAGTATCGCTTACAGGCTAAGCTTCAAAACTGAGTATCGGTACGTTTGTGTTACTTATATATGTCTTCGACGGACCATCATGGCATAATTGCAGAACGATATTCACTAGTTACCAGTTGGAAGAGCTGGAAAAAGCTTTTAAAGAAGCTCATTACCCTGACGTGTACGCGAGGGAGCTCCTCTCCATAAAAACGGATCTGCCAGAAGACCGCATTCAGGTTAGCTTAATCTTTTTGCAAACAAGCAGTTAATAGGTAATTTCTCCATGAAGCTTCATTGCATGACAACCTTTTAATTAGGCTTTCCTGATTCGTAATTATATACGGAGATAGGGATATCAACGCATTTCTTAGCTTCTGTAAATCATTTTTATAAAATAATCTCGTCGGTGAACGTGATGGTCGAGTTTGCCCAGGTTGGACGGGATGTTGCTTCGATAACACACTGAAATAGCAGTGTTTCTTTTTTAATTCTCTGTTTAACCATCGTTTTTTACTTCTACATAAATTAATGTATCAATAGAAATTATCACCATATTGATACAAAGTAGCTCAACGACGAAGGGATTTATTTTCTCGTGCTTACTGCGCGCACATCTAAGAGCTCAATTTACTCAGATAATTCTTATTGGCCGCTTGCTGAGCATGACGCGCGTCAAATCAAATTTCCGCTATGATCGTTCTCCTCGTCGTACTCTATCCGAAGATGAAGCGATGCAGCAAAGACATCAGTCCCGCTCTGTTCATCAGCGGCCTGATCTGATGTCGCGGACACAGTACTACGTAGTAGTGCTATGACAGTTGTTGTAGCCCAGAACGCTGTTCTCTGGGCGTATTTCGTTTGTGTTGTTTATGAATAGAGTGTAGTGCGTGTAGGGCAGTGATGCGAAGAGTGACCAGGCGCAGATCACGAGCGCTGCAAAAATGGGGTACTTTAGGCTGATCAAAAAAAAAGTAACGAACAACCACAACAGCAAAAAGAACAGGAACAGACCCAGCGAGCTAACGGATCAGACGAAAGTCATTTAGTGACTGGTCATAGATGACGAACAGTGACGAAGGCAAATGTTTGCATGAAATTAAACGTAATGGAACATTTCATGACGATGTCGGTGATCGGCAGGCCGAAAAGGTCCTAATGTATGCTGTGTATTCATGTGGATCTTCGTGCTTTTGTTTGTCTACAAATATATTGAGCGTTGTTTTTCGTTCATTATGCAGGTCGACGAAAGGGAATGAACAAACACACACACTAATACACTCGTCAACGAGTGCTATACAAAAGCAAGTGATTTATGTTTCCGATTAATATAACATACTAGAAAAGTGTTAGGAAACTCCATTTTCAGATCGCACAGTATGCTTCAACTATAATGGGTACCTGGCGATCAATCATCCGAGCGAAGAGGGTATCGTTCCACGTAAGATCTATCGATTTTTCGTCCAAGCCTGTTTCTGCTAACTTATTCGTTCGCTGAAGACTATCGAACATTGCGCTTGCGAATGAACTTCAGTGGAAAAGGAAAAGACAGAGACGATTTGAAACGACTAAGAACTATATGCTAATATAATCATCAGGTTGACGAAGGCGGCCTGCCAACGGTGAAGTCCATCCATGCTCGTTCGAGCGAACTATGAATACAACACCCAGCAGCGGCGGCACCACCGTGCATTAGCCGTAGAGCGTTGGTACTGTTTGGCCGATCTCAGCACGTTCCCTTCATTCGTTGCTTATACATAGAGTCCGATAGATGTGTATTATATATATCAAGTGAGTCACTTGATCATTGCAATCCGATTAGCGATGAGCAGGCGGTAGCAGTAGTCAGTGGCCTGGGCTTCACTAGCCTCAAATGTCTCGATCGACCGACCGACCGACCGATTAAATCTAAGGGACTCTACGAAGTATAACAGCAGCAGCACCCTCAGCCACTACGGTCAAAATGTCCTCACTTGTCGTGCTGATGGTGCCAACAACATGGCAGCCCCAGCGTTATCATCGTCCCGACGAACTGGCCCGGTGGTTGACTGGATAACTTTGTGACTTTGTGTAGGTGGGCACTGCGCCCACATCACTCTACTGACCGAGCAAAATCCGCTTTTCGGCTGTCCACTAGCCCCTAACATTTAGCTGGCTGGCTGGCTATCCATCCATTCATTTCTTCACTTGTAATGCGGCAACTTTAGGTGCGACGGGTAAATTGACCCACGATCTCAACTGGCCGCAACAACCCAGCGCGGTGTCGCCTTACCACCAGAGAAGGAGAAGGACCTCTTGTCCTATGGTAAAGAGTAATATATATGTGCGCGCTACAATGAGTTCGTTTAAGAATCGTTTTGATATTATCTTGGTATGACTATAATCTGAACGATGTCTAGTGATAGCTCCGCTAAACACTTCATCCATATGAAGTATTCATTGTTTTTTACTTTTCGACGTGGTCAAATATTCGATGGCAATAAAAGAGGTCTTTTTTTGATGCGGCAGCTTCGTAGACATGTGCCGAAAGGAAACCTATTTATAACATAATTAATGAACTAACAATTCAATTCAAAATAAAAATAACAGTCTCGGATTACCCGTTTTGTAAACTGCGGAGGAGTTTAATTTTCCATAAATTCTGAAGACATTTTCTGAGCAACATGTCCAGTATATTCTAGTTATATGCGTTTAAATGATTCGGACCCAATGCAAACCGGCCTATTTGCTTCGCGCAACGTTTCTTTGTTAGCCAAGACTGGCTAGCTTACTCCGACAGCTGAACAACAAGAAGTGAGGAGCATTCAACTTGTCGAAGCAGTTAGCCACAGATGATGATGTATCAGCGCGCAAATGCTATCCGACATGTTCGCCCAGGCCAATGGACGGTAGGGTCCTGTCCAGACGAACCTTTGTCCCTCCCTCAGCAGCGACTTCCCTTCACTGTCTGTGGCATCGTTCGAGGGTGACCCCCGGAGCGTTCGGTACGCGCAACTGGCCAAGTGAATGAATTAAGGGCAAATTAAAACGTCCCTTTCCCTACCCTCATCCTTTTCAGTCCAGGACATGTTCCTTCTGATGCATCCCCACGCTTCTCTTCATCAGCGAGGTTTTCTTCGCCAGATTAGCCCGATTCCAAAATAAGACCACCCATCCTTTTTTCAGAGTCTGCTGTACTAGGCGTATGCGATGCTATCGAAATCTTCACGAGAATCAGCCTCTTTCAGCATACACACACGTACTAATCGTAATAGTATCCATTTATTTCCCAGATGGCCAGATTGCTATGGTGTGTGGGCGTTTGCAAATCGTCCAGACGGCTGGGTGATGGCGCTCTGGGACAATAGGCCGGCCATTCGCTTATTGATTTTTCTTTCGTCCCTGACCAGGCAGCATTTTGTCTCTGAAATGCACACACTAAACAATTTACAGGCGTTTTTCGCCACAGAGATTATGGCGGTTGCTGGGGTTGCAGTACTGGCGTTGACGAGCGAAGGGTGCACGATGAAGGAATTCCTGACAAACTTTTTGGGAGATGAACGAGAGATCCTTACATGGCGCTAAATTGGTGCAAGGGGCATCCGCGAGAGCGAGAGTAAACGAGGAAATAATTGGGATTTCAATTAACTGCCGGTAAACGAGGCTGAACGGATAGTGGCGATGGCGGTTCCGCGCAAGATGGCAGAAGAACGAAAACAGCCGAGCTGCCGCTGTTGCCGCTGTATGCACCTACTAACCCAAGAGGGAACAGAGAACCGGGTACGACCTAAGCAAGAAGCAGACTAGTTACGCCCACAGCGGCTACCAAAAAAAAATGTCAAAAATACATTCAAGATGATTGGTAGCTAAAGACGTCCGACGACGGTCAGACCCACCTGTACCGAAGTTATAAAGAGGTTGCAAGCTGTCGCGTAGTAGTATTATCGTCAGGCCTAAGGCCATTTCGGGACCAGCCTTTTCATGAGCTTTTTTTTGCACCGGCAGGCTTACAAACAGGACGAAAAAAGCCGGCCGCAATGTCCAGTATTGAGCAATCCTATACTCTCCCTGGGAAACAACTGTTGGAGTGCAGCTGGTGTGTTATAGATCAGAAACTTGCCGCCCGGGACGACAGGTAGCTGAGCTTGTTGGCCTTACCTTCGAACCCACTCCCACGTCCGCTACCGTACACACTCCCAAGTGAACCTTGCCAAGTAGGGGGATAAAAAAGAGGGGGGGGGGGGGAGGATTGGGAGTATGATCGTAAAGGAATCAGAAAAAGCTATTAGTGCAAGTCCGCCCTCAGGGGCAAGAAAGGCGGCCCAGATGCGAGGTCAGATGATTAGACAGACACTAATCTTGGCCATGAACGATGGACGGACTCGCGTTGGCTCTGTCCGATGACCGATGTTCTGAGAGGAGTGGACTAGAGATGAAGAACATACACTTATGTTGTCTGTTAGTGTAGAAGAGCTATAGCCCGTGGCCCTTTCACCTTCATAATTAGTAGGACCTGAAATATGACGTATTCGGTTTTCGAATATTTTTGTCTCTATTACGCGCAGGTCCAGCAAGACTTGTACATGCTTATCTAATCTTAGGGAAGGTTTTCAGCTGTAAAATGCGCAGAGAGTGGCATCTCGCATGGTGGCTCAAAGACTTTGTATATACTTTGAGTCATTTGTTTTATTAGTTCATGTTTAATTGTATAATAATAATAAGATCAGAATGTGGCCATTATGATCCTACAATTACACATATTTCAATAGCTATTGTCGTGTAACGTATGACTATGTATCGAAGACCATACCACAAATTCACATTGCTTAGCATTGCGTACGAAAATTTCCTTAAACCAGCTCAGTATCACTCACAATTCAATCTGCACTCCCTCTTCTATGGCGGGTGACTTCTCGGATCACTTTGAAATCACCCACTTCAGAGGTCTTTGAGTTATAGCCTCGCTGCTTCGTTGCGCTCATGCAAAATTAATGGACATTTTTCCATAATTAAGTTACCAATCTGCCCATTGCGGTTGGTAGATTGGAACAATGAACTCGCCAGGCCTGTTTGTTTCTTTAGCAATCGAGCGTTTTGTTCACGTCGTGCCGTCTAATTTGTATTATTCTTGGGACGGGAGAAGGTAACGGAATTATAACGAAAAAGCAAATTGGGGGAAAGCGTGCATTTCGCATGTATTCCACTTAACGGAATTATCCGGCGCGAATGGGCCACCTCACAATGGTAAAAGAACTATTGTTTTTTTTGATTGTTTTTCTATCTATGCTTGAAGTATACGTCCTGAAGAGATTGAAAAGGGACAACGCCGACCTTTATCGGAATATATACGCTTGCGTATACTCACTGTCAAGGCTTGCTCACTTCTTACAGACTCAAGTTACCGTAAGTAAACTGCTTGCAAGCAAGTTTGTCAGCGAGGAGTAATAACTCGACCACAGGTTTGAAAAGGATTAAAGAAATGTCTAGAAGAGAGTGTAAAGAAGGATAAAGAAAGGCTGGAGTGAGTAGCATATTTTCTACTTAATAAGCAGAATCTAGAGAGCTGACCGATCGGGTAATTCGAAATTAGCATGAAATCCTTTTGTGATTGGGGTTATTGTGAAGGTATGTTGACTTGATACTCTTGCCAGCGTAATTTTCGTTAAAGCGCTTGAATTATCTACGTGCAAATAATCAATTTTCAGAGGTCAAAACCTCCCCTGTAATTGACCCCGTAATTAGTCCCTGTAATTGACGCCACTATATTCCGCCATTCCTTGGATTTAATTTACGTTGAAATTATAAGTCTCGACTTCGAATGGGTGTTCACGTACAGGACGACCAGCTTTGCTTCCCGGTGGCCACATTTTATTGGTCAAAGGAAAAGGAATTCAGGAAAACGGATCGTGCGTGCAACAATTGATTCCTGCCCACCCTCAAATTTACCCCGTTATACTTTGTCATGCATCCATTGTTCGCCACGTCAGTCCTGCCCAGCGGCACACGGACTTCCCTGTACCTGCTATGGCCTTCAAGCAGAAGCTCTTTCTATACAGACTCGTTATTCTCTGGTACTGCGCCTTCATCTCCGTCCGAACTGAACGTGAAGTGGTATTTACAATGAGTTAGCGTCATATGACAACCGACAAGATTGATGAACTCACAGCAAGTCTTGCATAAAATTTTGATTGAACACACGACCAAGCGCGACACGGCCGACGACGAAAAAGAACTGTAAAAGGTAGACCGCTCCCTTTCATCGTCAGAAAGGACAGGAGAGGCTTATGAGGACGAGCTTAAAGAGAACTGGTTTGACGACTGCGGGAAAGCCTTAACAGGAGAAGTGGAGCCACAGGCTCACAGACAAACGCACACATACACGCAAACAGACACTCACAATGTGCCTATTTATGACGAGATGCACGGGTTGAGGCTTGACATGAAGCGATTCCTAACTTCAAGTCCTGGGCCTTCCGGTTCAAGGACATTAACAACATGCGCAGTGTACGATGTCAAAGGTATCTGGGTCTCTCCTCCGATTCCCTTTAGCTTCTATGTATTTTTCGACGGTACGTTATTACAAAGCTTCACTGTAGTTTGTGTTCAGTCGTGGTTTGGCATCTCTATAACTGAGTGTCCTAATGACAGTAAAGATGTGCGCAGGTCAAAGGCAATTAGTTGCCTGGATTTCACACGCAGGAATCGTTGTGCGCGCTGTCAACAATCGGTGGATGTCAACGAGCTTGAATAATTAGACCACGAAGTGTTAATTGCTAGTAAATTGGTGATATGTTCTTCTTAGTTAAAGGTGCAACTTCACAGTCCACTTTAAGTTACCTATACAGTTATAATACACACCGCTATTAGGAATTAAAGTATGTATACCGGTTTCTAGTCTATATATCTTCCTTCTCGCGTACGCATATGTCTCGAACTATATGTCAAGCTAGCTGCTTGCTTTTTAACTACTACTTTATTCTTATAGTAAGTTATGACTACAGTTGACAAATGGTGACGATTAATTTTTCTATCTATTCTAATAGTTTTTTTTATGTTGACCTACAGTTTCAACTAGATGTTATATGTGATGTATGCAAATGTGCTTACAGGTATGGTTCCAGAATCGACGAGCAAAATGGCGTAAAACAGAGAAGTGTTGGGGAAAGGCAACCATCATGGCTGAGTATGGCCTATACGGCGCGATGGTACGACACTCACTGCCCTTACCCGAAAGTATCCTGAAAGGTGCCAAAGAAGGTGAGGGTGCCAATGGGACCGCCACAGCACCCTGGTTGTTAGGTTAGTACAGCAGTAAGCCGTATAGAATAAATGACATGGGGTATTTCATCGATTTTATGCATTCTCAGTCTAAGAATAATTCGTGCTTAGACGCCGTGATTCTTATTGGTAGTATTTCTACTTATTTTTGAAAGAAGCACTCAACTTTTTCTATAGTATACGCTGCAGTGTTTTATAAACGGTACGGTTACGGGTGATTCCGATTAGAGCAAATAGAAATAATCGTTTTGCTTAAAATGTATCACATTGTTCAGCAAAACACACGCTAGATCGTTTCTGGTAAGTTTTTTTGCCCTTTTATGGCTATACCGGATTTCAACATAAATCTACGCGGCTCAGAATATTTAAAAAATGATGTATCGATGTAGGCCAAACGTTTGACGCAACTACTGAAAAAAGTTGTGGCCGCAGAAGAAACTAAATGCTATTAATATAATAATAAGTCAAAAACTCCTCTGTGTTGCGGCTTAAAAAGAACATTTAGTAAATAAATAAGCGCGAATAAGCCAGTCATCCAACAAAAAAGAGAAGACGTTCCGAGAAAAATCTTCAACCTTGATTGGACAAAAGATGCTTCCTAATTATCTAGGAGCAAAATAAACAGATCTGAGATTATGATCTGTGGGGTGGGAATAAACTGTTCCATGAGACAATTGACAGCCAAACTGTAATAATATATGTACACCGTCTACCGGAGCGTATCTGACCGCGCTGAAGTCGGAAGTATCGCACTCATTCATGACTGCCGTACTAATTATTACTCATGCTTACTTATGGATCCGTGGTGATGATTATCCAGAACGTAACGATTGCTTCGTATCAACGGTGCGCTATGGCAGTACGGTCGTTATAACAATCCCTTTGGATAGAAAATAATGAATTTAGCTTGAATTTTACTTAATTTAGCTATACACCGAAGTACATATAATAAAATTAGGTCAGTTCTCGAGTTCTGTGTAAAATAAGCAATCAACATCATATATTTTATAGTACAGTATCCCATTTATTCCTACCTCACTGATGAGACCTTATCTATGGGACCTAATAAAAAAAAATTAACCTATTATTTATGTTTTTATAGTTCGATTAAACAGTTGTTTATTAAAAATATCGGAGTGCTTCATATAGCTTCATGCCCATTTGGCCCCACCTCAACACTGTATTTGGAATGATATTATGTAAGTATACGGAAAAAATGTTTGCAGAGTACATTGTGGTACTCAACAAGACTTTTCTTTATCAACCCCAGTTGTAAGCCATAACAGCTATTTAAAAGCATATCACTGCTGTCCCTTAGATTTCCATTTAGCCTTATCATCACTCATTGCTGATATTAAAATCAATAGCGCGTACCCCGTGTATCCATCTCTTAACCACACTGAGCGATTTCTCACCTCTGCCTGGCTCTCGGAGACTGTTGGCTTTTGGCCTTCACTTTGCCTTTTGACACCTGAAGCCCTCGAGTTTAGGTGGTAGTTTGACTTTAGCAGATAGGGCTAGTAGGGTAGTGTTGGAGAGTGAAATTTTTCGTATCGTAGAGAAGCGCGTTCGGGTTGGCCAGCCATGAAGGAACTGGGTTATCTATTTGAGGATTTTCCACAAAGCGATGCCGGCAGAGATGGGGCTGGTTGCACGCTTGTCCTATGGATCAGCAGTTACAGTGATGTATTATTCATGTACTAAACACTTCGCACTCTCACGCAACCTAACGGTGCTTGCTATGTGTTATAATGGTGGCTGGCACTTCCCTATCAGTGACTTAGAAGTAGTAGAGGTGAGGCTGGTTCTATGCGTAGGCGCACCACGGCCCGTTGGGTCGGCGGGCGTGTTTCGGTGAGAACACATATTATCATCGAGCTCCCATCCGTTTACTACGTTTATGAAAAACCACTCGGGGCATACAAAAGAGAGCTGATCCGAGACGGCTGAAATGCCCCGCTCAGTTCTTCTGTCTATTTTTTTAGCTACTCGGAAGTGCTCAATCGGTAGATTGTGCTGCATAAGGTACGGCTTGTTGCGTGGTGACTGTAATAACACTATAACACAATATAAACAGGAACAGTATAGATACTAATTGTCTAGCGTTATGTTGGGCCTGTTTCTAGAATCCTTAAGTTTAAATAGGGTTTCTTCTTTTCATACAATCGGATTTGATCCTTTGGTTTAAAGTGATTCTGTCCAGCAGTTTAATAGTCTACAGCGAAAAATGTTAGCCGGTTCGCAGTCAGGAGAATAGTTATCATTAAACATTAGGACAGAACATTTCATAGCAGCACCAAAAAACAGGCACAAGTTGAAGGAACGTTTGCCATATGCAATTTACACATAGTAAATTTTGACTTTAACTCATTATTAATCAACAACACGAAGCTCTTAAGCTAACTCTGAGAAATGTTATCAAGTTTACATGTTCAATTTAGTACGAAGCGCCTGCCCGCCCTTTTAATTGTGCTTTCGATAATTTTTCATGATGCTTCACACTGGGCTGTCTACAATTTGCACTATGAAGGTTTTGCTTTCAATTGTAACCTTTAGCCTCTTCCAGACACTAACAGTGCAGTTTACCGCGCTGTTTCCTACGTCTATGTTACTTGTCCTATATTTTTCTACACGCCGCCCCCCGTCCTACCCTAGCTTACACACCTACTTCTGGCAATTAGATTCTACTTAGAATACTAACTGTTCAAGCGTGACACAATCGTGTATCAATACGTAGATACAGCTACCATCTAATCATGGAAATTCAGAAGGCTGTAACTTATAGAAGAGAGTAACGCTATCGCTATACACAGGCACCCAAACTATCAATATCATCAACGATTCACCACCTCCCGCCCACTCGACTGCCGTGAGTATTAGGCTCCTATCTCTCGAACGATACGGAACTCATCTTCTTTCTTCATTGGACCTCGACTATTTTTATCCTACCAATGGATTATCATGACAGCGCTAGCACTTTAATGTGCAGCCTCGATACGCACCCCACCATTAGAGTTGTGTTATTGGAACAGAGATCTGTGCCCATCAGTTTAACATACACTGTACACATATGCTATGCGTAAGGATTTATTAAAAACGTTTTCAGGGAACAAATACATATACATATCGTTTGATGTTACCTGTAAAGACATGTATTCGTTGGGCGTAATTTTTCTATGCTGGCTTTTGATCGTCCTGCGCTAGCATACTGCCACAAACACCGCCAGCAGGAGCATGAGCTACTGGCTAGAAACAAAGTGGTTTCCTCCAGCTTCCATATCAGTCTCTACATAATAACAATGACACAGCTAACTTTGCCCATTTCCAGGACTGCGTCCCTGCTGCCGACAGACCTTTTCGTCTGCCTGCCTCCGGTGTTCCTTTGTATGTGAGCTTGTGTATGTACGTGTGTGGGTAGGCGTCTGTGTTTGTGTGTGTATGTGGAAGTGTTTGCTGGCTGGGCGCGCAGTTGAACTGCGCCCCCGTTACGATACCGGTGCTGTTAAGGTCAACAATTGCGGTACTTCCTTAAGCGAATAGCCGGCAGCGAACAACCTTAGTCGGGTTGGTATTCCATAAAGCTCAGAAGGACTCCTTTGGCGCGCGCGGGAGCACGTCAGTGGTGGCGGAGGCTTGCAGCGTCAGGCGGAGCCTTACCAGGGCTCATCTACTATCGCTTTTCGCAGGGACAAGTGCTCGGAGTACGGGCCGCAACAGCGGCATAGGAGCCCTCGCAGGGTTCGGCGAGTTCAGCTTAGCGACTCGTAGGGTGTGGTATGCAGCTCCACCCATACGACGACGCCAATGACTGGATGATTGTATGATGAGCCATGATACGCATATTAAACCCTATTGGGTTCGCCTTCCCAACACCACCATCGCTACCATCGATGGCATTCAACCCATGCGCAGTTTCCTGACCTTCGTCCTGGCACATATGCGCACAGCTGCTGCTGCTGCTACTTGCTGCCGTGAGGAGCACGAACGAGCTATGGCTGTGAACTGCAGGCTGCCACACCGTTAGATACGTGGAGGACTTTATGCCACTTGTAAGGCGTAACAATAGAGAGACAAGGGGTGATCAAGGAAGTTAGTATGCGGCAAACAGATAGTGAAGAAAGTGGGAAATTCATACCAGGAGTAGACCGCTACCCCACTTCGTAGCTTACCTAGGACTGCCATTCGCCGGGGGAAAAAGGGAAATGGCACGTTTTGCGCCAGCGCAGCGCCGTACTGGTGGCTGCTAGAGGTGGGCACCCTCCATTGCGGCTACCTCCGCCACCTCATCTTCGCATTTCTCTTTCTCTTCTGAAGCAGTCGTTCGTTCGGAGTTCTCAATAATTCTGTCTTCTTCGCCCCTTTACCCCCCTGTCTGTCCCCCGTCTCTACCTACCTAGACTTTTTCGTTCCTTTTGTGTTGAAGATATATATGCAGGTATTTGACGGTGTAGATCTGTGTGCAGTCCTACTAGCACCACTCGACGGTGGTGCTTTGGCTATGCTTCGTTTTCGTTAGCTAAAAATCTATTAACAATAATTGGGGCGATGGGACCAGCCAAGTTAGCAGACAGTCAAGGGGCTTGAAGCTTGCGGCGTTACTCAACTGGCGGCCCTGACGACTCTCCTTATATAGCTATGTCCATGTGTGTAATAGATAGCGTCTGTACCTTCACTTGTTTAAGAGCTTGTTGGGCCGGTCCGTCGATGAGGATCTTGTGCGCGACGAGTGGATGATGGTGGGGTTTAGGAAACGAAGGCACAGTGGTAACACCTTACTCCGCGGGCGAGGTTGAAGTCGGATCATGATGATCAAACGATCAAGAGGAGGGATGGAGAACGCCAATGGCGTCAATATACACATCGTGAACATGCTAAGGCTCGAAGGGTGACGGTGTGAATAGGCCACTATGAAGTTAGAACGAAAATATGACTGGGCACACGATTTTTGAATACAGACGGTGTATTTTAGCATGCTGCTTGACGTTTATTTGACCAGATTTTTCACGGTAAAATAACGGTCGTACATGGTTTACGGCTCATCAGCACACAGAACAGTACTAGAGAAAATCGTCAATTCCGCTGAGAATTTACAAACACGGATAATCAACAATTTCTTTCACGATGCAGCTAGCTTGTCATGACCCTTTAAATGTTATTCTCATGTTTTGTGTAGAATATTAAAGGATGTGTTCATCTGCAACTGTTCATCTAATCACCATTAACATCAAAGCAATCAACAAATAAATCAAGCATTACATTTAGAAGTGACAACGAGTTACTGTGCTTAACTCAGACTGTTCCCCTACCCAGAAAACTGTCATAGTTAGCCTTGATGAGTTTTCGGCCTGCCTGTTCAACCTTCCCCGAACCAGCATCCCTCGCGTCTACTTGCAAATTCCTTTAACAACGAGTGCCTCGTTGAGAGAGCTGATTCAAGCGCATCTCTACCCTGAGGGTTCTCCTAGAATAGGGAACATTGTTGAAAGAAATTTCCTGATATTCTCGCCAGAGCCGCAAAGACCCCGTGCAGATTGAACGGCCTCTGTTCACTAGCTTACTGAGCTTCGCGGGACAGCTGCGACAGGATTAATTACACAATAAATTTAATTTCGAGTCTTCGCGGCTGGCTGGCTAGCTAGCTAGCTAGGGCCGAAACTTGGTTTACCAGAAAAGGTGCTGAATAGGGGCAACCTTTGCCTAGGCTGAGTGAAGTCAGAGTGAAGGGGTCACGCCTTTCAAAGCACAATTCCGAGACGACGTCAGCGAATAGCCCCCGGCGTCGTTAATCGCGCGAGCTGCTTCTAACGCCGACCTGTATTGCGGTGCTATTGGCTGGAATTGAGATACAGCCATCAATGAAAAACTACTGAATCACTTCCCCTCACTCTTGATGCATTCCTCGATCCCTTCGTTTTCGTAACTACCTGGTTAGAACTGAATTCGATTAAAAGTTTCGTTATTTCAACGGCTACCTCTCGCATAGGATGATCTATTTATAAGCAGATGTAACTCTATTTGTACTTTATCGGTGTGCGCACAAGTGGCAAGCGGAAGCAGACTCACGTACGTTCTAATAGCATATATAATCTTTAAAACTGTCGTTCTCTCTTAAAACTCTATAGAACACACTCAAAGACGTTCGCTAAAGTGTATATAGAACGTTTTCTCCTAATCGGATAGGCCTTGAATAGGTATCATTAATTCCGTCGTCCTTAAATTTCCAAGTGCCTATTTATTATAGTTTCGTCTCTTTGATGTCATTTAGCTTTTATATATTTAGATGTACGTAAGAGTTCATTAGTCTGCTGCTTCTGATATACTTTTGCCGGTATTGCGTTACTTTGTACAGGGCTAAAAACTGTTACTCGTCCAATTGCTATTGTTGCGTTCTTGCTGCGGCCGGTGCTGCTAATGTCGCTAGCCGCCGTTTACTGCCGGTTGGCTGGCGTCGTAATAGCTGAATTAGTGGGTGTTGTTGTTTGCGGTTGTTCACTTAATAAAATTATTTACTCGCATGAGGTTCTGGCTATGCTATCATCATGCCGGCGGCGATAAGATACTAGCAGTCGTAGTGAAGCTTGTAGGGGTGGTTTGGGGAGTTTTACGACCCCTTTGTCCAGCGCCACCATTGACGGCACAAAGAGGTCCCGGAGAGAGTCATATAATGCTAGGTGGAACGCCCAGCAGGAAAAGACATTGTCATTATTAGGAATTAATATAGCGAAGGACTTGCACGGAGGAACAGGCATCGATAGTAAGTACCATCACGATACCAACGATAATGGCAGCAGCGGTAGGAGAAATAATATGCGGATATAGCTGTGGGCAATAGCATCGAAGCAATCGACTTAAGTAAACAATATGCATCTAGAACTTGAGAACTAGCGGTATTTGTACGCCATCATTTGTGATGGAGAAGTATATAATGTGATTTCTTAAGAGCAGTCCTTCAGATCTCATCGAACCGGACAATCGAATTAAGGAAATTCATTCAGTATATGTAGATCGTTAACAGGGAAGCATTAATTAAACAACTATCTATATTATATCGCTTAACTTAAATATTGTGGATGAATGTATACAATGTTTGACATTATCGCAATATTTTACCTTATCTAGATAGAATTTACTGTTTGATCAGTTGGACTCGAGCAGTAGCTACTGGTCTTCTTCATACTGCTGCTGTTGTCGGCTCCGTTGAGAGTGTAGGATGTCACTGGCACAGTCTCAGCGTTCCGCTGCGTGCAGCTTCTCGAGTGGTTGGTTCCTTTGCCCTGTCACAATGTCGCCCTTTCGCTTACACTTTCGCTGTACAACCTTTGTGTCGGTCTGGCTATTTCCCAGACCCAGGTTGTTTCCGGCCAGTCGCCCACATAAAACCGCAACCCTTTCTGTAGGAGTTTCTCCTTGTCCGTTCGCCGTGGTACGCATCTTGTTGGCCATTAATTAACCGATGGACAAATGAGCCAGGTCCCTACAGTAGACGACACAATTGGCGTACCTCTCACTAATGTGTATGTAAAAGCGGAGGGTTAGACGGCCGAGCATCTGACTAGAAGGTGCCAGAAGTAGCTGCTTTAGTCTCGTTAACAACACATAAATACTGCTCGATTTGTACAAATAAGAATATATATATATA